AAAAAAACCACTGCACATCCACCTCCACTGCACCATACCACCACCGCGCACAACTCACACCACCACCTCCCACGGCAATCAACCGCACCTAACCACACCCAACAGCACCAACCGCACACAGATCACAGCCCCCAAACCGCAATCAACTGCACCTAACCACACCCAACCGCACACAGATCGCAGCCCCGAAAACCGAATCTGACTCATCCAACTCAACCATCCAATCGAAAAAAATAAAAAAATGGAACGGACAGATCTGCTCCTCCGTGAGCAACGGTGGTTGGCGCAGTGAGGCGTTGCAGTGGCGGCATTGGCGACGAAAAAGAGGGAGGGGAGGACGGCGTCGCGGCTTCACAGAGAATGGGAGGGGAGAGGAGAGGAGAGAAGAGAGGAGAGGAGGGCGCCTCGTCGTCGCTTCGAGGATTGACATGGCGATTGAGGCGGCGTTCGGTGGTTGGTGCTGTGTCACCGTCTGTGAGGGTTGGGCGGCAATTTTTAGAGAGAGAGAGGGCGGGGAGAGAATGGGGGTGGAGGGGAGAAAACGTTAGGGTTGAATCTGTTGAGTTGGTTATTTTAATTAATTGAGGTGAATTATATAATTAATATTAATTTAAAGATAAAAAACCTGATTTTTGAAAAGTTAAATCTGTGACCTGATTTGTGAAAATGAATATCTAAAATCAGGCCTATGTGTAATTTCCTCAAATCCAAATCCCTTCATCACAGGCTAGATATCCGAGACCCAAGTAGCTCTCTAGCCCAATATTTTCCACAAAGAAAATCAAGCCCAGTTCCGAAGACCCATTTCTAAAGAAAATCCAAGCCCAAATATTCACAATAAGAAAACTTGGAGAAGAATATTCCTACCACTCTGAGATTTATTATCACTTAATGTAAAGACTTCACTTACACGTTTTATTTATTTCATCACCAATTTTTTTGTTTTTATTCGATAAGACTAATATATTTGTAATTTATATAAAAAATAACAAAAATTTGACTTGTTAATAGAATTCACGACGTGACAGTGAATTGCTAATAGTGGTAAATATGGGATTTACGTCAAAAGTGTGTCTAAACTTAAATTCGATGTTTTGACATTGTAAAATTATTTTTTATCACCTTTGTTGCGTTATAATATTATTCACGATTTATTTAGTTGAGCTGCTCAAAAGGACATCTTCAATTAGACTTGCTACGTTGCTAGATCATTTGGAGATAAAGTAAGCGAACATAGTTTAAAAATTAGCATGGTTCATTGAGGTGATTGTAGTGGTGTTGACAGGGGCAAGTCCAGCCAAGCAACAGCTGATTGTAATGGTGTTAAGAGTTAGATATGTAAGAAGTCTTGTTAAATATGTCCTCTCGAAAGGACATCCCCAATTAGACTTGCTACGTAGCTAGATCATTTGGAAATAAAGTAAGCGAACTTAGTTTAAAAATTAGCATGGTTCATTGAGGTGATTGTAGTGGTGTTGACGGGGGCAAGTCCAGCCAAGCAAAAGCTGATTGTAGTGGTGTTAGAGTTAGATATGTAAGAAGTCCCGTTGAATATGTCATCTCGAAAAGACATCTCCAGTTAGACTTGCTAGGTAGCTAGATCATTTGGAGATAAAGTAAACGAACAGAGTTTAAAAATTAGCATGGTTCATTGAGGTGATTGTAGTGGTGTTGACGGACAAATCCAGCCAAGCAAAAGCTGATTGTAGTGATGTCGGAGTTAGATACGTAAGAAATCTCGTTGAATTATTGATCAAAGGACCCGCCAATTGCCACCCAATTAGGTGGACTAAGCAATTTATAAAGTAAATAACTATTCTTCAGGCTATATCGTTTATTGTCGTAATTAAAATGGAGCATACACAAGTATTGCTATGGTAGTGGTCACTCGATTCAAAAACAGGAAGTGGCGTTATTCTGATTCATCTCCATTTTCACGAAGACTTGCTCGATTGGATGGCTGAAAAATTTTCTACTATTTTTTTACACGACAAAAGGGAAGATGAAAATAAAAAAGTAAAAAGAAATAAAGGCATCGTTGCTCGATAGAGAGAGACATCTTGCTGCGCTCAATTTATGGATTGCTTAACGGTAACTTCACCTCTGGAATATATGCCAATAGTGCATGCATTATTATTTATTATGTTAAAAGTTTGTTTTCCCAACTAAAGCATAATAGTCACTTAATTTTGCTTCAACTTCACTATCCCTCTGTTTTGTGCTGTTGAATGTGAAAAACAGATGATTGAACCAGACATGATATCAATTTGTACTAGAAAGTTTTGACAAAAAACTTAGTTTAGCTGAACGTACGAAGAATAAAATGAAATTTGAAGGCGTCAAATTTCTTTTTGTCAAAGATATTGTTGTGATAAATGAAGCAGGTTTCGAATAATGTTGTTTAGTATCATTAGTACGTTACGATACGTGAAATTAAATGTGTAAGTATAATTTAAATAAAATGCCACATAGGCGGATATTTCAGTACTCTCGATGCTGCATAATATTACTCGTGTAATTGCCACTATTTTTTGTAAGTAATTTTTACTACTACCATTTGTATATTTGATGGGGAAAAAAAGGAGTTGAGCTTCAGTCTATATGATAATTACATGACATTAAGCATTTAAATGAAACTATCATTTAATTCCATGTAATTGCCATATAGACTGCGGTTTAACTCTGAGTGAAAATGAATAACATTATTAAAAAAAAAAAAAAAAGTGTACGTTATTGAATTAGTTTGAAACATAAGACCCCACGGCTTTGGATTCAGTGAATGACTGACTGTGCGAGTCAAGATCGTAACGGCATTATTGGGAGTTTCTATTCATCATCATCCCAATGGCACAGTTCATTAACGACCTTTCCTTTCCATCTGTTTTTTACGCAAAACCTTTTTAATATTCACTCTAACCTATTTTAAAAATAATTACCTCAATAGGCCGTTACACTTGGCAACTATTCTATATTGGCCATATTTTTCAATAAAATTTTATTAAAATCTAGGTATTCTTAACTTGTATTTTAGTACATTTCGTTGAAATTTAGAAGATATAATTCAGATTTTATTAAAATCTAGGTGTTTCCAATAATATGTTAATTTCTAAGTGTTTCGTAATCAAAAGGATTTGAATAGATTTTAAGGGATTTAAACCTAAAAATATACGTACCAAACTATGTATAAAATCTAGTCTGATTTCAATAGATTTGAGCCCATAAATATAAAGTAAATATTTTGTGATTTGCCTAAGTATTTTAAACTAAAATATTCCATGAGTTCTACGAAGAATTACAGTTACTATACCAAACATTTCATTTAGTAGTAAACTTGATTCAAACATTTCATTTGTACCACTCACGGTACCAAATCTTTCAAGAATTAGCACTTGGAGTCCAAATGGAAAAATATTCATTTGACCGTTAGTTGACCCAAAAAATAATTTTGACCAAATTTACAAAGGGCAAAACGATAACTTTACAGTTTTAATATAAAATACAGTTATAATAATTAAATAAAAAGGAATAAAAGGAAAATAAGAGCGGTCTCCTTCTTTCCCACCCTCCCTGAAAATCATCAACAGCCACCGAACGTCGACATCACCGTCGACACCTATGCCTTCTTCCTTTGCTTTTGAACTCTATTTTCACCTCATCTTCTCCTACTATTGTCACCCTTTCGACTTGCCCATTCACATCAGCCACAAATCCAAGTGCCAACAATCACCATTTTCGCCGACGACTTAATATAACTCCCTTCCTCCATTGCCAACACCCAGTTAACCAATATCAATCTCCCTAAATTTGAATTCGAAAAAAATCCCTAACGTTCGCTTCCATTTATTCTCTCTAACTGTCGCCTGCATTCACCCTTTATTTTCTCAAGTTGAGAGGTGCATTTCCCATTTCCCTCAGCATTTGGGAATTTGGTCAAAATTATGTTTCGAGTTAACTAACGGTTTCCATCCATTTGGATTTCAAGTGCTAATTCTTGAAAGGTTTGGTACCATGGGTGGTACAAATGAACAATTTGGGTCAAATTTACTATTAAGTGAAATGTTTGATATCATGATTGCAATTCTCCCTAAGCTTTATGGTGTATATAATCCTAAATTTAGTTCTACACCCGTCGATTTAAGTGCAAGCATCACCGACAGACTCCACCGAGTTCTCTGCTTTGTACACCACAACCCTCTGTGAAAAATGACTCCTTGGAATCTTCTTCTTTTCTTCTTCGGTTTTCAAGCAACATGCGCAGCCCTCCCGGGGACGTGGGAGCTTCTGGTCCCCGATGCCGGAATAGCCTCCATGCACACGGCGGTGACCCATTTTAACACAGTCGTCCTTCTCGACCGGACCCACATCGGTCCATCAAGAAAACTCCTGCCTGAACACCACTGCCGGCCCAGTCAAGGCGATCCTTTGTTGAGGCACGGAAGAGACTGTACTGCCCACTCAGTCCTCCTCGATTTACAAACCAACACTATTCGCCCACTCACTATCCTCACCGACACCTGGTGCTCCTCCGGCCAGTTTCTCCCGGACGGCACCCTCCTCCACACCGGCGGAGACCTTGAAGGCTGGAAAAAATTCCGAAAATTCACTCCCTGCGATGCTAATTCACTCTGTGACTGGGAAGAACTTCAAGATATTGAACTTTCCCAAGGGAGATGGTATGCTACTAATCAAATATTACCAGATGGTTCAATTATTATTATTGGTGGAAAGGCTTCTAATAGTGTAGAATTTTTTCCACCAAGGAAAAGCGGGGCCATAAAGTTTTCTTTTCTGGGTGAAGTTGAGGACAATCAAATGGATAATCTTTATCCATATGTCCATTTACTCCCCACTGGCCAACTCTTCATTTTTGCCAACAATAAAGCTGTATTATACGATTACAATACAAATACTGTAGCAAAAAACTATCCCATACTTGATGGTGGTCCAAGAAATTACCCCTCTGCAGGGTCGTCGGTGATGTTGTCTTTAACCGGCGATTACTCCTCGGCTACTGTTGTAATTTGTGGAGGAGCTCAATATGGGGCGTACTTGGAGAGGACAACTGATACTCCAGCACATGGAAGTTGTGGTCGGATCGAGGCGACCCGGCTGGACCCGGTTTGGGAAATGGAGGACATGCCATTTGGGAGAATTATGGGTGACTTGGTGATGTTGCCCACGGGGGATGTGCTGATTATTAATGGAGCTCAGGCGGGGACTCAAGGTTTTGAAATGGCTTCTCAGCCGTGTTTATTTCCGGTTCTGTATAGACCTAGTGAACCGGTGGGGCTGCGGTTCATGACTTTGACTCCCGGTTCGGTTCCAAGAATGTATCATTCGACGGCAAATTTGTTGCCGGACGGGAGGGTTTTGCTCGCCGGAAGCAACCCACATTATTTCTACAAGTTCAACGCTGAGTTTCCGACTGAATTGAGGATCGAAGCATTCTCCCCGGAGTATTTGTCGTCGGACAAAGCTAATATACGGCCGGTTCTAGTTGACCTACCGGAGAAAGTGGGGTATGGAGAAGTGTTCACGGCGGCTGTCACAGTGGAGCTTCCGGTGGTGGGGGTGATTGAGGTGAATTTCGCCAGTGCACCGTTCTCAACCCACTCCTTTTCTCAAGGACAGAGGCTGGTGAAACTAACGGTGACAAGCCCGGTTCCTGATGGTGCCGGTAATTATAAGATAACATGCACGTCGCCTCCTGGTGGAAGGGTGGCACCTCCAGGTTACTATATGGTTTTTGCAGTTAACCAAGGGGTCCCAAGTATTGCGCGGTGGGTGCAGTTAGGATCTTAATCCTTTTCCCTGCCTTATTTATCCTTTCATTTTTTGTATATTTTCGGTTTTAGGTATTAATACTTTGGTTAATCGTTAAGATTATATTCATATAAGAAATTCTGAAAGTAACTGTGAATATAAAAACACAGCATTACTTATGGAAGAAGTGGAAGTTTTTCTGTCTTGTTGTGAATAACTACGATTTTTCAATTTAGTTCTGGTTGATGTTTAAATTGTCTCGACTCTATCTTTGAAATCGAATCGATAAGGTTTATTCATTGAGAAGAGTATTAGAGATTAATGTGATTTATGGAAATCGTGTGATTAAATTTGCGTGTAATATTATTTTAATGAAAAATGTATTTTGAATATGATGAAGATCTAAACGGTGGAGAATTTTTTCAAGCTGATTGCATTATTATTTTATTCGAAGAGGTTTCTGAAAACCGATGTCGACAACTTCAATTGTTGCTTAATAGCTAGTATAAGTTTCCCTTTCATTATCATTTCACTAAAACCTACTATTTTTTTTAATCTCTTGACGTGTCCATCATGTAATACTAATACACGCAAAAATGCTTCACTGGCTAAGCCTATATTAGATTCGGTCAAAGGAAACCTTTAGAATAAATTGAGTAATGAATAATATTTTTAGAGAATGTGTGGTTGAAATTTCAAGTAATTTTATTGATTTGTGTGTATAATATTTTATTGGATGAATGTGTAGTGGAGAATTTTAATGTAATAAACAATGTTTTGAAATAATGAGAGACAAACAGAATCTTAGTTCCCGTTTCGTTTGGTTAAAAATTAATATTTTAATAAAAAGTAAATAAAAGTTGAGAATCTCATAAAAAGTACGGTTGAAAATGAATTTGTAAAAAATTGGAACCAAACAAGAGTTTAGCATGTTTTATTGAAGAGTTATGCTATTCGTACAGGTTCAAGTTATTCGATGTACCTTAAAATATCGAAATAATTATAGTGAAAGTTCATAACCTATTGGTGTTGTGTCGGGTTAGTGTAGATTTGTTTTCAATGTTTCAAGATTTAACACATTGAACTAACTTACGTTTGATCCACATTATTTTGGAATAATAAATTGATGGAGAATATGTGGTTGAAAAATAATGAAAAGTTATTGATGTGACGGAAAATATTATTTTATTGAAGAATATATGATTGAAAATGAATAGAAAAATGAGAATGAAAATTTTATTATGACTCAAACAGAGGCACAATTTCCATTTACTCGACCATTGAAAGCTATATTAAAATCTTGGTGCGAGCACGTGGTAGAGCTGAAGGAGAGATCATTGACTGTCAAAAGAGGATACAACTTACAAGACTGGTATTGATGATCCTCCAATTTCCGTTTATGATGATAGTAGAAGAGCTTTTTCTTTGTTCACGTCTAATCTTTCTAGGTAATAATGACTTCTTGAAATTACAAGAGCAAGAAGTGGTGGTGGGAGTTGGTGATAGGGGATAGTTACTTTGTTTCATTTGGTGTCTTCCTTATCTCTTTCATTTTTTGGTATTTTGCTTCTTCTCTCTTTTCTACGGTGCCTTTTAAAAAGTAAAAAATGTTGTGTCTTTGTTCAAACTTTTCATTTGTACCACTTACGGTACCAAATCTTTAAACAATTCGTACTCGAAGTCCAGATTGACAAAAACCGTTAATTTGACCGTTAGTTGACCAATAATTAAACGTCTGACCAATTGTTGACCAATTTCTAAAGGGTAAATATGTAACTTTACATTTTTCATATGAAAAAATTAGAATTAAAGAATTAAATTAAAAATAAAAAACTCTAAGATACCGTTAGGATTTGAAGGCGGTGGCTGTGGCGATGCTATCGGGTAAGTGTGAGGGTGAGGGTAGGGATGGGGATGAGAGTGGGTGAAAGAAGGAGAGGAGGAAGAAGAAGAAAAATATTTTTCTTTTCTTATTTGAAGGACTTAAAAGTACTATTTTCAGTTCTTGGTAAGGTTGGGCATGGGGGTGAAAGAAGAAGAAGACTCCTCTTTTCATTTCTTTTTTGATTTTTTAATTTAATTTATTTGTTTTTCTTTTAAAAAATGGGAGTCGGTTGCAATTTATTTTTTTTCTTTTTTTAATATTTAAATAGGAGGGTATATTTATCATTTCACAATTTTCAATTGAGGAATGTGATAAAAATTGATGAAATGACGTTTTTCACAATGAAACATTGAAATGGGTGAAAATGTAAAAATTCGAAACGTGAGGACGTTTTACACATTAAAAATGAAAGGTATGGACGTTTTATTTTAATAAGCCTATCTATTATTTGGATAAATAGTTGAACGGTCTACGTGCTTCTATGGTATGGACCTCAATTGTTGAATTGGAATAGAAATGGGGGCCTCTCAGTGATCTTAATGCATTATATATCCACATTATTCTTCTACATGATTACACAAATTCGGCAGCAACAATCAACTCATCCACTATCATTATGTACTACTAATAATTTATCAATAGTGGCCTTCCAATTAAATTAATCTCAACTCAACCACCTTTCCTGCATTATTTATTTATTGGCTTAGTTTAAAGAAATATTACTTTTTTAGCTTATGAAGTAACATTTTGGAAAATGATAAATTTCATCAATTAATCACTAATCTTCAATCCATAAATATATTTCAATTTGTTCAATCAAATAACTACAATTTAATTTCATTTCACGTGGATGACTACACTTTGATTTAATTTTAACAAAGGTAACTTTATCCAATTTCCCTGACAAAAAAATGGTGAAACGATAGGCAATAAATTGTGATCATCGCACGTCATCATCAGTTGCTAATGTGAAATAAGTGTGATTTTTAGTTAAATGAATTGTGATTGCCATTTTTTTAATTCAGGTCCTCAATTCCATTTAGTTCAAGCTACGAAAATGGACGAAGTTATCTAATTAAAATAAAATAAAAGTGCAGCTATTCGATTAAACAAAATTGAAGTACAATTACATGATCGATACTGAATAAAATAATAGTTGCCATGAATGGAATTTACCCTTTTCTAAAACATGAACATATTATGTATTTATATTTATATGTAACTACGTGTATCTTTGGTCATTCGAGAAGTTGAAACATGAAATACAGATATTAAATAATTGAAAAGGACTTCATTTATAATCATGGTCCACTATAAATTATAATGTATAGGGTTCCTTTCATTCAGAAAAACAAATTGGAAGGCAAAAACACGCGTTGATGCTACTCAATTATCGTCAATGACAAAACAAATTGAGTGCAGAATTAAGCTAAACTTACAGAATTTCACTTCACGTGGGCCTTACAGGCCCCTCACTGTAGCAAGGCCACACCCAATGTATTAAAAAAATTTGTGGTCCCCACCCTTCATGTGTGTAATCTGGCGCAGACCCCTGTAAGTGTAGCTTCACTCTTGAGTGCAAGTGTGTAACGTGTTTTATAATTCATACACGAGCGGTTAGACCTACCTAGTTCTACATAAAGTTAATGAGATGTTAAATAATTATTTAAACTCGATTTAAATGTTCTATAAATCAAATCCAACTAATGTTGTTAAACTCGATTATTACTAATCTTTTATTAAGCGTCGAATCGAAGTGAAAATGAGTATAAAAGAGAACTGAGCCATGATTTGCAATTGAAGACGCTTTATGCATCAGTAAGGAAAACAATTGCTTTAAAAGCACGCAACAAGACGTTTATGGATACGTTGGAATAGTTTTGATTCTTTCTTAGAAATAGGGCTAATTTAAATAGTAAATATGGAATCCTAATTCTTTTTTTTTCTTCTTATGAATCCCAAGCCAATAAAATCTCTTCAAACGGGATGTTGGTGCACGCCAATAGGTTGGACTCTATAGTTTGACAAGACTATAACGATAACTCCAGTCGTATGACCTATATAAGAGGGTAAGAGTTCAACGAAGTAGGTCGAGTTATGTCAATTGTCTATAATACTACTAAGCGTATTTTCAACAACACTACAAGCCTTATTTATATTTGAAAATTCTAGCAAACAATACTCTTATCGTCAAAAGTTTTCTTTAAATTGATCTAAAAATGTCACTTTTTTTGTCACAAACAAATCCTAATTTATTTGCTTAATCAAACTTACTATTTTGGTAAAAGCACGGACAATTTATTAACTTTTATTTCAATAACACTAGGGCTGTAAATGGATCGTATATGGACTGGATCTGCTTATATCCTATATGATCCGATAATCCAACAGATATTTGATTTTTTAAATCTATATCCGTTTTGTTATGTTATTGAATATTCGATCCGATAATTCTATCTGAAATTAAAGAAGTTAGGAAAAAAATAATGTTGGAATCAACTTTTTTTTTTCCAATTTTTCTAATTCTTAAACGGGTTTAATAACTTTAAAATTTTTATGTTTTGAATTTGGTCATTTTTTATTCTAAATTTATTTATTTTAGTCACAAATAACATGCCATAAAAATATTTTATCGACTCAATTATTTATAACAAATCGATTCGGATTGTTATCGGATCAGATTGACCTATATCTATATTTGATCCATTTAGTTAATGGATTATTAGATTCGAATTTCGATCGGGTTATCGGACTAACACCCTGAATCCACCTTCCATCAATTTTATCAAATTTGAATCGAATTTAGATGAATTTCTTTCTTTTGAATTTAATGGATTGACAGCCTTGAATAACACATTTCTTTCTTTTGAAAGACTCGTAGTTACACAATCCTATGATTCTTAAAAAATCAATATCGTCAAGTCCATACAACACAAATTTTTGACTGCAATTGGGAATTGAAACAAGCTAGGCGTATAACCTAGTTTACAACTAGATTGATAATCAATGAGTTGGCAAATATCTACACCATACATTTCAAAAACCTTTATTTTAATCAGTGGTGTGGATCCCCACACCTCACTAGTTGACAACCAAATTGTAAAACCTGATCATTCTTGGGGATGAAACATGTCAGGTGTACAACCTAGTTTAC